CAGACCGCGAGCATTCGTCGTTGCATGGTGAAGAGAGAGAGAGAGAGAGAGAGAGAAAAGAAACTCTTTGCTATCTCAAACCGCGGATCTTTCAGCACGGAACTCTCTTCGAGAAATCCCTTCGCTCGAGATGCAGAAAGTCGAGGATATTCAGCGAGTAGTTTCGTGGACTGAACAACCAACCAACCAACAGACGACGACGACGACGACGGTCGCAGAAAATTTGCAAGTCCGGTGTAAGCACGAAGTTAATGTAAGGTGGACAAGACGATTGCGATGGAGAAGAACTTTTAAAGGCAACTACATATTCGTATAATAAAATCTTGTTACAGAAAAAAAAATGAAGAAAAAGGTTTCCTTTTTAAGCAATTTTATTGAAATAAAACAATCCCAGTATTCTCAACGTAGGCCTGTCACAATTCCATTTGTGTACTCAACCAAGTTCGGAAAGACCTCATCACGCGTATTTTTCAAGAAACTCGAGAATGGATTTTAATCGACCATGAAAAAAGTAGTTTAATCTTTATAGCAATCGTTAAACGAACCAAAAGATTCGTCGCTTACAAAGAATTTTGGAAACGCTGAGACTCACTCGATCGTTCATATTATCTTCTTTTTTATCGGTACAAAAGATGTTCGATAAAAATCAAATGAATCCTGTTTCTATCTCGTTTATTTTGGAATGAAAAGACAGAAAGTACGATGATGAGATTTAAGTAGACGCAGGGATAAATGAGTGAAAAAAAGGAAGGGTTTTTTTTACGAGACGCGATAAATAAATTAAATGACTCTTGTCATGGAGTTCAAATTATCTTGGAATATAAACCGGTGCTAATACAATCAGCATTGGTTTAGACCTGATCGTGTAGAAATAATTATCTCCATCTAGTATTTTTTTCCATTAGAGGAACCGAATCGTTTTTTTTTTTTTTGGTAAGCGTATTTGTCGTTAACGTTATTGTTACCGGCAACTGGGTACGAAGCTTTCGTTATCGTGGAATTTACGAAGACACGAGCAGGAACAATAAAAACGTTTCGAAAAAATTCAACTTTCATGTTGTTAACAAAAAAGAAAAAGAAAAAAGGAAATGAAATGGAATTTAAGTCAAAAAAATTTCTCTCACGAAAAGGAATCGTCAAGTTTCACATTGGCAATCCCTCGTATCTCATTCCACGTCGAGAAAGAGGGGAGGAGTAGGATTCGGTGAGGGTGAGGGGGCCTCAAAGGCGAACGGAGCGGTGATATTTAAAGCGTATGCAAAGAGTGCAGCTCCATAGCAGCTAGCAGTTCACTCTCTTTCTCTTTTTCATAGTAGAAAGAGAGGGGCAAAAAGTCTTGGACAATGGCAGCTTGCGTTCGGCTGCCCGGAATCCGACTCGCGACGATTTATGCGACCTCGACAACGACGACGACGACGACGACGACGACGACGACGGCGACGACGACGACGACGGTCCTGCACCTCCTTCTCATCTTATTCCTTCTCTCAACGGCACACGAGGCGCATTCTCTTGGGACGAAGAATCTCAGGCTCCGAAAAGTACGAAATACTGCTAGTTCGGATGGAATCCCTTGCCTGTCCTCAAACTCTTGCCACCATTTTAACCAGTATTTTCGATTAACTCGGGGAACTTTGAACACGAGTTTAACCAAGATGGACGTTTAAGACTGGATACTTCTTACTTACTTACTTTTCTTTTATTTGATTTTAACCCTTTAAAAGTACGATGAAAATCGAATTGGATTTGAGAACTTAGGTACTCTTACGAGACTTACGATCGTTACGAGAAAGTTCGTCGAAGCGAGAATACGAAAGTCCTGATCGTTATTGCGATTACGTTTAAACCCTTAACGAAGACGCTTGTTACCGTCGTTATCGTTTCTTCCGATGTACTTTCAAACGATTCGGAGAAAGGTCTCTCTCTCTTTCTTTCTTTCTCATTCTGTCTTTGATTCGTACATCCGAGAGAAAAGACAAACTATCGTCGTGTTGTACGTTCATATCGATCTTGTTTCATGTCACGGGTGTCATGGTATTCGATTGTGTTTCCTTCCTCTTCAGCTCTGGTATATCAGAATTTCTTGAGAATCCTTTCCTTTGAATGATTCAAATTCAGAATCGATCCACGTTAAAAAGAACGTTCGTTCTCTCTGTTTTAGTGATTTTGGAAGATTTGTTTTCAAACATGCATAGAATATCTAAAAAGTTAGGAGCGGCCAGTTGTTTTGTTAGATAAGATAAGACTGGTAGATTTCATTTGTACCCGATCTGATGCGGACCGATGATTTTCTTCTCTCTCCTCTCTGGAGGTGCTATAAACTCGGCCGTAAAATGAAAGCCGTTCCTCATTTTGTCGCGAGGTTTTATGGAAGGATACAGTATCCGGCATGTTCACCTCTCGAACGACGCACCCAATAAGGACTTCGTCTACTTCCAAGTGTTTTTAAGTATCGACCTCGAGGGGACAAGTCCCGCGTCATCCGTTTTTCTCCATTTCTAGAATCTCCACCTCTTCTTTCATTTGATTTCATCCACACTTGACATGTTGGTTTAATTCGCGAGTGTATTATTCATTAGATTAATTTTCACAATTATTTCAAATATTTCGATTTCTCTGGAAGTTTTTGTTCAAGGATAAATTCAAATGGGCAACAACAATATTCCTTTGTCCTGTTTTCGCTATCGTAAACTTTTTCATGGTGTTTTTTTTTCTTTTTCCTTTCCTTTCATCTGGAGAACGAGTTCGTGTTCATCGAAACAGGTGTCGTAAAATGGGGGGGGGTAGGGGAAAAGATTGCTGCTGAGCATCGATGCGAATCGTAGTGTCTGTGTGTACGTATAGAGTGCCTTGTGCGCAAGCGCTCACAAACGTTCACCGGCTCCCTTCAACTTTAATCTGATAATCTGATTGGCTGCTGTGTGTCAAATATTGCGAACTCGCACGCCGGGCCGCATCTTCTCGCGCGAACAGGTTCTTCTGTGGACGCGTGGCCCACTCCTTTCTCTCCTTCCCTCTCTCTCTCTCTCTCTCTCTCTCTCTCTCTGTCTGTCTCATCATCATCGACTAAAATCAGCGATTCGATCCAGAGGATATCAGCGACTTTCGATAAATGGAACGATCTTGCTTAAATGGCAAGAGTTGAAGACCGTTTCGGGGTATAAAAAAAGAAAAACGTAAATGTACTTACTTTAAAGTAGATGAGTTCATTTCAATATGCATGAATGGCATTTTTTTTTACGAATAAACGTGCAAAAATTCACGTCATTAAGGATAGCAATGATCGTAACGTTGCGTCAAATTCTTCAATAAAAAAAAGTGGTACAAAAAGAACAAGATTACCTTTGAAATTCGTGTTATATTTCCGATGAAAAAGAAATGTTCGCAAAAAATAATATGACAAAGAGAGAAGAAGGTGGATAAGGTCTTTCGTTCTTTCTCTCTCTCCCTCTCGCGAAAGTATCCGCATTGATATGCAAGAGGTCTGCATATGCGGGCCATGGCGGTCGAACAATACGACCACCACCGGTAAGGCACCACCGTGTAAACTATCCGCCATTGTCGGGACTATAATGTACCGTGGAGCCGTGCTCGATGCACGCCGAGACACTTTACACGGTGCACCGGGTATATGGCGCGGTGAGCGCAGGTCGTGACGCGCCGTATCTTGCATCGGATGTACCACCAGTGTGGAAACACGGATACGTACCTCTCATCCTCCCTCCATTTACCTTTTACCTTTTCCTTTACGTACCTCACCCACCCCTCCCTCCTCCCACCTCCCACTCCACTCGCCTTACAAACCCTACTTGGTGCATCAGGACGGACCTTCGCTTATTCCCTTATTTTTTTCTTCTTCTTACTCTTTTATGAAATTATTTTAATCTACTCTACTACCTTGGGTATTGATTCAAGGTTTTTCGTTCGTTAAAAAACGAAGGACCCGCATGGTGAAAATCAACTTGTTCGAGTTTAAAGATCCCAGACAATCCATCAGGGTTTTCTATGTTAGTTGATTGAAATGAAAAAAAAAAGAAAAATAAAAAAAGATCACGAAAGAAATAAATAAAGAAAGAGACGAGATGGAGAGGATGTAGGTAGGTACGACAATACGAGTTTAAATTATCCGAATGGAAGTCAAAATGGGGTCGTTACCAATAAGGAAAACTGCGAATCCTGTGGGCACGAAGCCAAGCACGAAGTACCCGTGACGAGCATGGCGCGTTATCCTTACGAGACGCGCGTTCCACGTTCCTATCACGTTGAATAGATATTCTCGTATGATTTACATGCTGTTTGCTCATACCAACTACTCTTACCTCTTCTTACTCTCTTTCTCTTGGTTGGAGAGAACCAACCGAAGAAGCAATGGAAGAAAGAAGAAGAGAAGAATATTCTCGAGAGCAAGCTCGTTTTACCTACGATAGTGTATCGTACTTTGCACGTGCTTGTAGGTATACCGAATCGCCACGTAGGCGTTTTCGCATCCTCCACCTCCTTTTCTTCTTCTTCTTCGTCGCAGTCCTTCCTCTCTTCGTATCCACTCTCGTGACGCGACTATGCTAAAGCGGTAGCACAGCGCGTGGAATACGTTTTCGCGAGGTCTGCCTAGCTCGAGGAAAAGATGCCAACGCGTTTCTAAAACTTTTTAGATAACTTCTTTATCCGATCTTCTCGATGACCCCCGAAGCTATTGCGATTACTACGGAACTAGGTACTTCTGACGACGATCGTTGGAGTTACATGCTACGTTGCACTTCTATATTTTTTTTCTCTGGGATCTTTTAGATTGAGAGTATTTCTAACATAACGGAATCTTAACCTTGATCATTCACACGGTACATTTAGAAACGCAATCTAAAAGAAAAACTGATAAAGATCGTTTAACTACTGCCAGTAGTTTTTCATTTTTAATAAAATTGATTCATTGCCGATTTCAATCTAAGATTAAACTAAAAATTGTATTTATGGAAAAAGTGAAGATATAGAGTTTGACTTACCTGATAATGATGATGTAGTATCCTTGATACCACCGACGACAGTACCTTGTGGTTGATTTTCTTTAACTGAGAGAACGTATCGTGGTCTTTCACAAGTCCTGTGTCCTTGCGAGGACATCGTTATTCTAACTTCTGCATCGACGGTACTTTTCAATCCAGCTGCATCGGTGGCAGTAACATTAAGTTGGTGTGAAGCTGATCTTGAAAGAAGACTTGGCCTAGAAACGTGAAGTTCACCGGTGTTTCGATCTATTCGAAATATTCCATTTTCATTGCCACTGGTTATTCTATATGCAACTTGTCCAAATAATCCTGCATCTAGGTCACTCGCTACTACCCTTAATATTGGTCCTTGAAATGGGACGTCACTTCTTAAAGTCACGTTGTACTTTTGTGGTTCAAATATTGGACTGTTGTCATTAACATCGGTTATTTGTACTCGGACGATTGCTATTGTACTGAGACCACCTGAAACAAAATAAAAATATGTTAATTAAGTTTTATTTTTCATAAGTTTTATTTGAAATGGTTTAGGAATGTTTGGAATGATTCGGTGTACTTTGATACTCGTGAACCTGGTCTTTTTAATTTCACGCAACTGATCATAGAGATGAGTCCATTTTCGGTACTGAGAAGAATACGAAGACATGTAAGAAAGATTTATGCTATCGATGGTTAAACGCGGTGCTCAACTTGGAAGTATTGAAATATTCTCAACGAATGAACCTTTTAAAATGTTCAACAATTGTAAACTATTGATGATCGTAAATATAATACATAATCATGTATACACAATATCGATGGTATAATGTAATTCAGCTCAAAGTAAAAAAATAAATAATAAAATAGTAACTCTTGTTAGAGTTTGTATCACAACCTCTGTGAGCTTGTTGTACGCCCGCATTCGTTCGAACGTTATACAAGGTAAGAAAATTTCATGCTTAGCTACGAATGTGCGCCGAATTGTGCACGCACGCACAAACTTAAAAAAAAAAGACTCAAAGGGGACGAGGGGGAAGAAATACGAGTACGACAATGTCGAGAATAACGGAGGTGGGAGTTAAGTCTCGAAGATTTATGATGCCGGTGTCAATAAAGTCACCTCCGATGTCGCTGTGTTCGTGCTCGATGTACTCGCCTTGAAACTTGATACACCCCTGAGTCCTTCGGAAACACCTAACCATTCCCTTTTGCCGCCCTTTGATCCTACGCTGAATACGAAATTTCAAGAAAAAAAAGCAGAAGATGCAACGATCATGAAAAATAATCAAACTTCTAAATATTGATTTACATTATGTTTCGTATTCTAATTTCTACTTTTCATTTGATACATTTAGCGATGAGAATTTCCATTGACTTCGTTACTGTTGCAGAGAATGCAACGAAGTTGGTCTTCTTCTCAGCGAGCAAAAGCCAGGTAATTTTTTTTCTTCTCAGTATAAGCTCCCCCAGACTTGGTGAAGATGCTGTGGTGGTCGAAAGGTTCGAGGGACGAAAGGGGAAAACTTGGCCGTTGACGCATGACTCCAATGACACTAGTACCTATAAATCTCCTCTCAGCTCGGAGCTCCTTCGAGCACTCGAGTCCATACATTACTATGAGTTACGGGTGTAAACCGTTTAAACATCGGATTACCCGATTTACATACTGTCTTTTGATATTAACACTTACCCCTCTCATTCTCGCTCTTTCTCACATACACACACATGCTTATAGATACACATAGATATACATTTGTTGAACACATGTCTTCTATAATCGGAAGATTCCATATTACGGTCAAAGCAATCGACCTACGATTATGCGCTCGTGATAAGAATTATTTATAGGTTTATAATTTATATGACTAAAGTAATCCTCTTAATTGGATTAAAGGAGACATTCTTAACTTATCGTTTACGATTAATCAAAACTGTTGAATCATTATCATTCTTATGTTATACAATTATGTTATACAATGATCTTGATTATCATTGGATGTCTTTCATTAAGATAACAATTTTTTTATTTTTATTTTTCATTAAGAAGTCCTCTCCCTTGAATGAATTTTCTTTCAACTGTCGAAGGAGAGGTAGTAGGTATAGGTACTTATATGCAAAATGCGATAGAGAAAGCGAGAGAATAAAAAAAAATAAAAATAAAAAACGGTCGGCTGATTGGACTCGAAAAAAGGACGACGGTAAGCAGGATTCTAGTGATTTATGACGACTTTGCTCGAAGTAAATCTCGTAGTTTCGTTCACTACGCCGACATTATTTGGCTCGATAAGAGGATTTCGATGTGAAGTTAAATAAACGTAATCGTGAGTCCTAAGGGAATATATATATGTATATGATATAAAAAGAAATTTTTAAAGATATAAAAAAGAATGTAGAAAAAGAAAATCAATGATACGCTTGAAATTTGCGAACGAATAATAATACTAATTGTAAGTGTGGTGGACACTTTTTAAAAATGTTTTATTGAACTAAATGAAGATTTGCGTTTATAGTTTGTATAATTTATACTCAAAAGTATAGGTTCTGTTATCTTTCATATTCCTTGTTTTCTCTTTTCTAACTTGAAACAAAGTAACACACACACATACACACACCTCGAGGTGATCTTATAAGCTCGCGTATAGGATGATGGTTCATTCGATGGTGCGGATCTCAGCGCGTGATTCAAAGCAACCTCGCTCGTAGGTAATAATTATCGATCACCACCGCGTATCCAACCGTTATCCTTCGCCATTAACGCGAGATACAAGACAAGACTCAACTCGACTTATCTTCAGCCTTTCTGTTCGATGATTCCGTCGAAGAAGCAATAGGTTAACTTTCCTAGTTCTCGTAATCTTCGGACCAACGATCTACGTAAATACATTTTTATCCTGAATCTTCGTACCTCCTTTACTTTATATAAATTCAAATATATCTTCTTTGTTTCAAATTTGTATATTGGTAACATTAATAAGAATTGTTTGAAGTGTCTACGATTTTTAGTTCGGGAGATATTCATGTGTAATCCTATCCAATGTAATGACATAAGTAATAAATGAAATATATGGTCAGACAAAGTAAGTAGGTAGTGCCTACGAACAGCTGAAATTCTACGTTTGAAATATTTACTTGTAAAAAAAAGAACGATTTAAAAAATAAGGCAGATAATCTAATAGATAAAATGTACAATCAATGAAAATTCTATCGACATAGAGAAAGAGATGAGCATCAGTGTCTTACACCATCCCAGCATGTAGCTAAGAGCAAACAGGAGCATGAACGATCAAAGAGAGAGAGAGAGGAAAGGGAAGGTAAGAAGAGAAGTGTAGACAACATGGGACGGTAACGAGTAGTGGTAGTGGTAGTATTACTAGACATACTGTTAGTAGTTGTGGTAGTGCAGGTAAGTATACACTGCTACGCCAGTGGGTGATATAAATCACACGAGAAGAAGTGCAACCTCCGCACCGTTCCTCTTTCTCTTTCTCTATCTTGCAAAAGGAAGGAAGGTTCCTACGCGCTGCAGGGATCGCCGTCATATCCGGGCCCTTTTCTATTGTGTATCTCGTGTTTGCCGGCAAAGTCTTCGATCTTCATGTGTGACACCCCCAGCCCAAGTACTCTTGTGTGCACGCGCGCGCATGCACACGTCGAACAATCGTATCGATAACGAGCGACAATTACGGTACGAGCTACGAGTACATACAAACGTGCTTATTTGCAAAACGGTGCGAACTTGCGACAATGGGATACGTGCGGCTTCTTTCTGACTCTTCTTCCTTTTTTCATATTTTTTTTTCCTTTTATTATTCTTAAAACTAAAACGTATAGAATTACGTGAATTATGGTGGTACGTGTACATAACGTCTGACCGTTCATTAGATAATAATAAATTCGTGGTTATTCATATAAAAATATGTAAAATAAATAACACGTAGAATTTACACGTATTTTCAATTTTCTTTTTTCAAATCAATTTCTAAAAGTTACATTTCAAAATATTCACTTTTAATAATATTATAAAGAATTTGTAAAACGATAAGTTAAACTTGTTGAAAAGTTGAAAGGACTAAAAGCAAGTAGGTAAAGCTTGTCGTAGGAACGTAGCGCCAGGACATCTCCGCGATCAATGGATCGATGCTAAGCTAAGCCGTACGTTTTCCCATAAGAAGAAGAAGAAGAAAAAGAAGAAGAAGAAGAAGAGGAACGCAGTCGTATTCTATTGAAAATGGGTACAGAATTCAGCGACGACATAAATCATAAAGCCTATTACAGGGCTACTAGATGTTGGCGCGGCGATAGCCACCTCTCACGCCTCGCTCCTTTTGCTCCTGCGTATTCTCCTCCTTCTCTTTCTCCTTCTCTTCTTCTTCTTCTTCTTCTTCTTCTTCTTCTTCTTCTTGTGTTTCTTCGTTGCGTGCATTCTCCATATCCTTTTTCTATCTCTGTCTTTTTCCCTTTTTCATTCTTTATTTGTTTATTTGTTTATTTCTGTTTAGTATCGGTGCGGCTCACCTGCCCGATCGCGTGTTCTCTCGCACAACGAAGGAATAAAAGCTACATACGAGCATCAGGAAGAAAGCATTGTTCGCCCGCAGCGTTTAACGGGCAGGTCGCGTTCGCCTATTTTGGTTAGACACACTCGGCAAACTTGCTCGGTTCGTAGCGCTAAAAGCGCTCGATAAATCGCTTAACAAATTGACAAGGCTTAACGGGCCTATGTCGCTCGTAAATTATCATGATCTGACTCAAACTTTCTACGATATACGTTCGTATGTTATATATACGTCGATACTCATCTAACTTAGGTGACGCGGAGTTTCCTCAAGAACAACAAATATTTTCGATATCCTAATGGTAAGTGAGTAGGAATATATCTTGTTTGGGAAACTCACCTCTGTCGGTGGCGATTACGGGAATCTCAAGGTAGGGAGCAGTTTCTCTATCTAGCGGTGCTCTCACGCAAATGTCTCCTGTGTCGCTACGTGCTTGAAGCAATTCGCTTTCCAATCTTCCGGCTGCCAGGGTATAATTCACCATAGCATTAACTCCGCAATCCGGATCGGTAGCTTGTACCTGGAAATTAAAGAAAATTCATTTTATTACATGTGTGATTTAATAAGTAACAAGTTAGTCTATCGTTTAAATAAATAGCAATCATTTTTCTCCAAATTCTTTGTTTTTGGTTCTTTCTTTCTGTATGTTCGTACAATGTAACGGAATGAGGATGAAACAAAAGTAACATAGTATGAGGGATGACGAAGAGAGTCGTGTCATCGGGAACCACCTTTAAAAGGTGGAGTCGCTCGAGTCGAAGTACTTCGTTTAATTTCTCTTAACGTTCCTGAAACGGGATACCTAAGGGGCCTTTTTGCAGAGAGGTGGTCCATTCGTAATCTGGACCCGGTGACTAATTTGCGAGTGGCTTCTTTCGGTCTTCCTACCCCCTTGAAAGAGAAAAATAAAAAAGTATCTACCACGAGAAGACGTTAGTGGACGGACGTGGAGGCGGTGATGGACGCCTCCGTTGCGTTAACCACTGGCTCGTTTATTTCTACGAGGATGTATCGTCGACTCGAACAAATCCGATGGAAGAGAGATCCTTGTGATTTTACGCATAAAAAAAGAAACGAAACAAGAAAAATCCATGCTCCTTTATTTCCCGATTTACATATCATTCTTCCTTTATAAAATATATATATATATATATATCCTTATTCCCTAGTTTTATTCGATTATCAAGATAGATCATATGTTTTAAGAAGGTATAAAGATTCGATCTAAGAATATGTAACTCGAATTATCCAGCGACCAAAGAGAGATTAGAATCGATCGAAAGTGTGATTAAGAAGAAACGAGACGAAGTACGAGACCGTAAATTTATCCAACCGAGACGTAATTTGTACCACAGTGGTAGTCTTCTCGTGTACCTCGTGTAGAAGAAATCGAGCCTAGTAGAGAAAAAGATAGTAGTAATAGAGAAAGAGGTAGCATAAAAGATAGAAACAAGTTAAGGAACGGTAATGAACCCCTTAACCCGAGCGAGTCGCCTTAATGACAGTTTAAAGTTTCCTCTCGCGTACTCTCGCGATATCTCGCGAGTACGATCTAACTACGATATTCTTGAATACTCGGGATACGCCCTGAGTTGATACGAGGATCGTAGAATCGTTTTCGATCTGATGAAGGATCGGATCCCGTCGATGATCGATTACTTCGTTACGACCTGTCCAATGAGAATATTCGAGTTTCGCGACGTGAGGTCTCCTTCTCTACGAAAGAATATTTCCTTTTATCGTTAGAAAATAAAATGAAAAAAAGAACAGTTAACTAAATAAATAAAATAACGTGCATCAGGAGACGACCGTGGTTGAACTTTCCTTTTCGAAGAAATATTCATGGAAGGGTACGTTTAGGTACGAAGAACGTAGATACGAGATACGATAAAATGTTGCATATAGGATCGAAGAATGTTATTTAACGGGGAAGAGGGGTAGTTACTAATGAATGCGATTGTGAGGATAACCTGTTTCGCGAAGGACGTCCTACTCGTTCAGAGTCTACAAAACGCAGCTTGGACTGACGGCACTCTTACTTGATCTTTGTTGTGCTACTCCTTATGGAATGACAACACATTAGAGTATTGTGTTTATTAAAACAACTCAGGTATCCAATGTTATCTCATTGCAATCTATTTCGTATGAAAACTAATGTAAGTGATACAATACAATCGTGTATATAATGAACATTGAATAATCCGCTAGGATTGATAGCTTATGTTGTTATTAAATTGATTAGATGGTAAAAAGAGATAAACATATATATATGTGTATATATATAATATAAAAGTAGTTAGGAGTATTATTATCGTCATCGTCAAGAAGTAAGAACGTCTAGTAACGTTCGAAGCGTAATGAGTCGCATAGGTTTCGAAATGAACACTTGGGAAATAAGGCTTGCACATGGCACTAAAGAACTTTCCGGCTAAGGGAACATAGGTGCGTGAGAATCGTCGAGAGGGTGCGCGGAAAGAATGCGATTGCGATCTCGAGACGTAATTAAGGAGACCGTTCGTCGTCGAGAAAATTCTCAAGTCTCTTCTCTCTTTCTTTCTCTCTTGTTGTGGGTGGGACGAATTTAATGGCTCACTCCTTTTCATATAGAAAAAGACAAAAGAT